AGACAGACAGACAGACAGACAGAGACAGAGAGAGACAGAAAGACAGAGAGAGAGAAAGAGAGAGAGAAAGAGACAGACAGAGAGTCAGAGAGACAGAGACAGAGAGAGAGACAGAGAGAGACAGAGACAGAGAGAGACAGAGACAGAGAGAGACAGAGAGAAACAGACAGAGGACAGAGAAAGACAGGTCCAAGATCAAACCCCTGCTGGGCACCATGCTGTGGCCAGGAGGGCCCTGCCTGGCAGACACAGGGCAAGGCTGGCCTGCTCTCCCAGGGACTTGCCCTAACTCCATGGCCTGTGCATCAGGCAGCTGCTGATGTTTCCTGAGGGGATCACAGACTGCTGTGGCCATAGCCATGTGAGTCCCAGGAGTGGCCAGACAGGGCCTGGCAGCTGTGGTCAGGAAGATGGGCTCCTGTGCCCAGGCTGGTAACCTACTGGACCCGGGGTCTTTCCAGAAGGGTCCTGATTGGTGAGACGCTCATTCCACGATCATGGTGACTTGGGCCGGGGGGCTGGTTGATGGGTGGGAACTGGGGCAGTGGGGCAGGATGCGGGGGTTGGCTTGGAGATATGGACCTGCTCCCTGAAGCTGGGGGCTTCAGAGAAGAAGGGGCAGCACAGGCTAGAGAGTAAGGAGGGCGGCTGTACCTGCAGCACTGCTGTAAAGGCACCAGGATGGAAAGCTCGTCGTGGGAATATTTTCCAAATCTGCCAGAGGAAGCACAGCCATCAGGGGCTCTCGCAAGCTGGGGAGGCGGGCAGTGCTCTGCTGCACATGCACACTGGCTCTAGAGGTGGGACTGGCCTCTTGCTTGGGCCCAGTTTAGCTGCACTGGTATCTTGTTTAGCGGGCATGCGACTGCACCCGGACAACCCAGGAGCCCAGTGCTGACCTGTAGCGTCCAGCTCACTCAGCAGCTGTCTCTTCTGGAAGGCATGTTAGTTACCCCCCCCCCCTTGCTGGTCTGGGCCACCCTCCCCTCCCCCAGACACAGCCCGTACCTACTCCTCAGCCCGGCTCATCTGTTTCCACAGGGCAGCAGAGGTCCAGCAGTGGAGCAGCCCTCCCTTCTGCCTGAGGCTGGCACCCCATGTCTGGCTGGGTCCACGTGGGGCATCAGCCTACAGGGCTACAGGCAGGGAAGCACTCACCCTCTTCCGTTGTCCAAATGGATAATGAACGTCTCATTCCCAAACTTCTCAAAGGTCTCATAGTGGTGGCGATCCATGTTTCCTGCAGAGACAGTGCTATGCTCAGTGGCCTCTGACCCCCAGGCCCTTCCCTCTGCCCACCCAGCAGAACCTCTGCCCAGAGCCTGTGATCTCCGAGCCCAGGCAGTGTCCCACGTCAGCTCTGGTGTCATCAGTCAGCACAGGATGAAGGCCCTGGGCTTGGGCCGCTGGTCGTACCCATGAGGAAGTCGAAGATAGTCATGTCCATGACATCCAGGACTCGGTGGCCACTGTCATAAGGTGGTGTCTGCTTCACCTCCTCACAGTAATCAGGGTCCACTTCCCACCTGCAGGAGGCAGCGTGAGACAATGCATCTTCCTCTGTGGTCGGGCAGGCCAAGGCCAAATTCTGGGTGCTGCCGCCCCCCTCAGGAGGGTACAGAGGCTGGGTGCTTATGCTCACAAAGAGGTCTCATGGAGATCAAGGGTCTGTTGTGAGGCTGCATTAATAGGAGTAAGGACGGGGTGACCCAGATGCTCTATCAGCAGGCCCAGAAACTACCGTGGGCTCTGGGTGTGTGGTTTTGGAGGGTCACTGTTGAGAATCAGGGCCCAGATGTCATGTGGGGCATGCTGGCTGAAAGAACAGGGGACATTCCTTCCCCAAAGGGATGAGAGGGGCAGGGAATGAAATCTGAGCCCAACCCCTAAGGAACATGTTTCAAGGGATCCTGTGGTCAGTCTTTGCCTCTGAGGTTCTGGCTCTCACACAGAGAAGCCCTTTCCAGCCATGTAGACACAGGCTCCTCCCTGCCCAGTGACCCTGGACAGTCTGAGTCCCAGCCCTCACGCCCAACACCCATACTCACTCTGCTTTTTTGCGCTTGTGGTAGGAGCGCCGCCAGGGGTTCCGCCAGGTCTTCCTCTTGGCCAGTGACAGGTCGGGCAGGAAGGCGGCCAGCGAGCCCTCAATCTGGTCAGGCCTCCCGCACAGCGCATGCTCAGTGGAGCAGTAGTAAGAGCACTCCCCGTAGAAGCAGATGTTGTTGGCTGGGGGTAGAGGGGGCCAGGTCACTGCACTGGCCTAGTGGTGTTCTTCTGTCCTTGGCCAGGCCTACCACCTCCAAGTCCCAGACCCCCACAGTTAAGACTTTCAAGGCCACACAGCTTTGCCTTCAGAATCAGGAATGGCAGTTTACAGCGAGTCTAGAGTCGGCATTCAATAGCTCAAGACAGGATTCTTATGAGCAAAGGACTCAAGTGGACCTTTCTCCAAAGACACTCAAATGGCTAAGGAGCCTACAAGAAGATGCTCTGTTGGCATCACTGGTCATCAGAGAAACAAACTGAATCCGCAGAGGCTCTACCTCACATCTACAGATTGTGACTGTGGTGTTTTCACCTAAAGACCAGACAGTAGCAGGTTCTGGTGAGGCCGTGGTGCATAGGAAATAGGTGGGAGGGGCCAGGGATATCGCTTAGTAGCACAAGCCACTGCCTGGCAAGCACAAGGTTCTGAGTTCGATTCCTAGTACTGGGGAAAAAAAAAGGAAGCAGGTGGGAGGGAAGTGGGGTGCCATGGGAAGATAGTTTGGGGCTCCAAACCTCACCAGGACATCAATAGGGGACCTGGCTATTCCATCCCTGTGTACCAGAAATGAAGATGGGATTCCAGAGACTCCTCATGCTCAACAGGGAACAACAGGCCTGGGGTTGGCCTGACCAAGTGTCTGTCAGCTGACCAATGGATCCAAAACACGCAGGATTTCCAGACCACAAAATATAACTCAACACAGGCTGAGGTTGGGGGCTCAGTGAGACACCAGGCTGGAAAGGCCATGGAGTGAGCCCACTTGCACAGGGTGCCGAGAGCAGGCAAATCCACAGAAGCAAAGTGGACAGGAGCTCTCTAGGGGCTGGGAGGGGCTGGGTGGTGTCAGTAGGTGTGGGTTTCTTTCTGGGGTGAGGGAACCATTCCAGGCCTGGATGACAAGAGAGTGCCTACACTGCATCATGCTTGTGGCTAAAACATGAATCACACTTTCCATAGTGAATTTTATAGCATGTTGTGTTGTATCTCTATTTTTTAAAAAAGAATTGTTTAAAACTGCAAGTGCTTGCTGCCGGACAGCTTCTTGGTTCATGTCTTGGCTGCTAGAGGCCCTGGCTATGGCTACCATCTCACCCCATTACAGGTCACAGGATGATCTCTTCTCACACTTATTTATTGACTAAATCTGTGTTTTCATGCTTTGGTTTGCTTGGTGGCGCGGAGGCCCTTGCTGTGCCCCAGCCCCTTCCCACCCATGCCGACGTCTAGCTGTGGCTTCCTCCTGAGCTGCACCCAGGCCTTTCTAGGATCTACACCAGGCTCCTGGAGCCTCCAGAACATAGCGCAGGGCCAAACATCCAAATGCAAGCTGGGCCAACCACTTTCAGAGCACAGGAGGAAGGATGGAGTCCTAAGAAGCAGGCCTGGGTGCGACCAGCCACACAGCTAGCCTGGCTGGGCATTGCCCACCTCTTCCCTCCTTCCCAGGCCTTCTCATCCATTCGGCATGACATAATTACCACAGGAAGAACGATCAAAGAAAGATCAACCTGCTTTCGCCCTGGGGCTGATACAGGTTAATCGGCAGTCTCTGGCCTACAGAACAGCCAAAGCTGAGCAACAGCTCCATTTCCAGGCAGAAATCTTTATCCCATCTCTTGCTGGCTGGAGCCATGAAATCGATTGCTCTAATAGCCTCCTGCCCTGGCTGAGCTGGCTTAGATGGTATCTATTAAAAGGCAAGGGCATTTCACAGCTCAGCTCCTTCCGCATTAGACCCAAATCCTGCATCTAAAGGGGCACCCTGGATGCGGCTGGGGTTCTGAAGACTAAAGTCCTCTTCTAGCTGTGCTGTGATGGCCAGGTGCACCTGTGCAGAGCTAAGCGTCAGCCAAGGTAACCACGAGGGTCCTGAGTGTATGGCCAACCCTGCTGAATGGATGCCAGGATTCTGGGGAGGAAGAAGCCCATGTCCTTCATCTCAGCAGGGGAGAGCAGAGAAAGCCAGTGTTCAGCCGTCCGGGAGAGCCAGCACACCCACTCTGGTCCCCTGAAGATGGACCAGTCAGCTCCTTGGCCTTGAGCTGAAGACACCAGTGTCTGCCTTCTTCAAGAACTATATCTGAATGCCTCCTCACCCACCGAGTACCCAAGGGTCTGTCAGAACCCTCTAGGGCCAGCATGACAGCAAGGCATGTCTCTGGGGAAGACGTCTGGCCTCTTTGCCCTCATCTCACAGCGGCTGTAGACACTAGTGAACTCGCTGTTCACATGGGGTGGAGCCCCAGATGCCAGCTGGTCTCATGTTGGAAACCCTACTCTCCTTCAACGTGCCGTAAACTGGACACAGGGTATGGACAACACAGTGTACTTGTCCGAGCGTAGGCCAGTGAGGCAGTAGGAAGAGCCAATTCAGGACCAGGCAAACCCCTCAGTGGCCTCAGGGCCTCTCAGCTGTGTCCACTTCACAGAAGAGCACAGATAATCAAGGTGTGTGGGACATGTCCCTCAACTCCCAGAGAAAGGTGCAGGGTCTGTGAGAATTGCGGCCTTGGAGACATGGGCTCTCAGAGCCAGGCCGCTTTAGGGTACTGCGCTGCCCTCTGTGAAAGTGGCTTCCACAGGCCTGACCTGCACTAGGCTGCATGGTTTCACACGGCCTCTGAGGCCACCCTGCCTCTCCCCCGGGTTTCTTCTTTCTGACTGACCCTAAGTCAAAGAATGCTTAGAGGCAGGGGGAAGCCGCCTGGATCAAAGCCTCTGTGATCGCACTTGGCTCTTGAGAAGCAGCGATGGCAGTTCTGGCATTGGATGGGCTGGAAGTGCAAGCAAAGCAAAAATGAAGCAAATGAGGCTGAACGGATTTCGTTTTCTAAAATGAGATCAAAACTGGCTCCTGAGACCCTGTTGCTTCCCAGGGAAGCGAGCGTTCTGGAGGCTTTCAGAAGAGATCCGCTGACGCAGTGCAGTCAGAGGTGCAGGGGCCCAGGAGGCAGCGCTCAGAAGTAACCAGCAGGGACCAGGAGTGGCTGGCCCGGTGAGCCACATCTGGACTGATGGGAGCTGAGGACCGGCAGGTAACATGCGATCTTGATCAGGAGCCAAGACCAGGGATGGGGAGGCCACAAGGCTGGGTGAGCAGAGACGCAAGAGATTTCACAGTGGCACCACCACTGTCAGCCATGGTGGCCTCACCATGGGGAACTCCAGGAACTGAAAGCTCCCTGCTGAGGGTGGGAGGGCTCCCAAAGGTCAACCAGAGTAGAGTGGGTTTGGAGTTTCTTAATTTGTCTGCTTATGCTGAGAACTGGCTCAGTCTTTGCAAAAACCAAAATAGGACAAAAACAGAAAGAAAGGATCTATAAACCTTCACTATTATGAATGACCTAAAAATATCAAGAGCTGGGCACAGCACACTGCATAGACAGCCTCCCTTGGGCCCTGTTGCCAGGGAAGAGAGGTTTCCAAGGTGCTGAGTGATGCGAGGTAGAAAACCCAGCCCCCCATGTCCCCATGCAGTGGACTTTCCCATGGTGCTGGCCTCCCTGTCCATGCTGCTGCCAGGAGCCTCCTGCCTGGAGGCTTTGGGGGTGCTGCCAGCTGGGTCCATGGCTATGGGCACCCAGCCCGCCCTCATACACTGCCTGGACTCTGCCCTGCAGAAGTGGATTGTGTCAGAGTAGGTGACATTATCCATCTGTATGGCCTCGGCCAGGCCAAGTGCTCAGTGTAAGAGGATGTACTGACCCTCCCTCTCAGCCCTGTAACTGCACTTATCTTTTGTCTACCCCTGAGAGCCTAGGAATGATGCCTGGTCTAGAACAAGGGCATTGGCCCAGTTAAAAGATGTTGGCAACTGCCATGCTGGGTGGGGGCTCCTGAGAACAGGAGAGTTATTCTTTAACGTGTTTTCAGCCTTTGAAATGCATTACTGCAGGGGCCAGGGAGATGGCTCAGTGGAATAAGCACTTCCCTGGCAAGTGCAAGGGCCTGAGTTCAATCCCCAGTTTGGCAAAAAAAAAA